GTTTTGTTTTGTTTCGAGACAGGGTTTCTCTGTGTAGTTTTGGTGCCTGTCCTGGAACTCACTCTGTAGACCAGGCTGACCTCAAACTCACAGAGATCCGCCTGGTTCTGCCTCCCTAGGGCTGGGATTAAAGGTGTGCACCACCGCCACCCAGGCTCTCAGTGGATTCTTAAAGCCCAGCTGAGTTCTGCCTTGCTGAGGGGAATGAACCCACTTCCCATCCAGGTCTATGCCAGGCAGCCACCTTGGAGCTGGTAGGTGGGTCACATCTACTGAACCCCATCACCTCGAACTAAGGACCTGGTCCTGGGAAGGCACAGATGACAGATGCCTGCCCCTCCAAAGCTTTAGGCAATTGCATTGTCACTGTGAAGAAGGACCAATTGTCCGGACTAACTGTATTTCTGGCTCTTTGTTCTCTGATTCCTACCAAATGTATCTCAAATTCCAGGAACAAGGGGCGCCCCAAGCTTCCACCCTCTGACTGGAAGTGGCCTGCCTCTCTCAACAAGAACAATCATCTCCTAACAAGAAACAAATTGCCCCTAATAATAATGCCCTGGAGCCAACAGGACCCAAAACCAGACCTGAGATAGTCATCAACCAGACCATTACCGGACCAAGCCAAATGCTTGGCTATGCACTCCTTTTCTGCTCTGTCTCCATATACCTTGAGGCTCTGCTAACACTCCGAAGCCAGGGACCAGAGTGATGCTTCCTATTTCTTCTCAATGTGACCACATTGGATAGCCAATCATGTCATGCCCTTGCTTCTCCACCACTCATCTCCACCTGACTGGACTCTTGGCTGGTCTGGTCAGGGGCCTCTAACACCAAGGAGTGTTGGAAGCAATCCCTGTCTCTGCAATGACCCAGACTCTGTCCTAATGCCACTGGAGTTCAGCACCTAGAATGGAGTTCATAAGAGAATTCTTGAATGAGTGAGTGAATGAATAAACTGTTTGCTATAGCCTGGCACTGCCAATTTCAGCCTGGGTAGTTTTCTAGGTCTATGGTGTCCTAGTTACATCTCTATTGCTGTGAAGAGACACCATGTCTAAGGCCACTTATAAGAAAAAGAAGCATTTTATTGGGGGCTTGCTTGCAATCTCAAAGAGTGAGTCCATGACCATCATGGCGGGGAGTATGGCAGCCGGCAACAGGCATGGTGCCGGAGTGGTAGCTGAGAGCTACATCTTATCCACAAGTTGGAGGCAGAAAGAACAACTGGGGCTAGCATGGGATTTTGAAATATCCCCCCCCTCTCCCACAACAACAACACCCCTCCTCCAAAAAAGGCCACATGTAATCCTTCTCAAAACAGTTCCACCAACTAGGGAGCAAGCATTCAAATGTATAATATGCCCCCCCCCCGGGGGGGGGGCATTCTCATTCCAACCACCATCTATGTAACAAACCTCCATAACTAAGGTGTCTCTGAACGTCTGAAATTCATCTTCTCCCAGTTCTGGATGCTGAAGCACACTCAGGCACCCACAGGTCCACACGCTCCCCAGGAAGCCCCCAGAGGAGAATCCTTCCTAACCTCGTCCAGCGGCTGGTGGCCAACAAACTCTTGTGGAATGCTATCCTCTAGGCACAGCATGGCAGCTGTTTGGGAATCAGAACAGCTGTGACTACCCACATGAGGCCCTCACAAGATGGAGGAAGAGAAGGCTCATGGGCCCACATACACAGCAGTGTATGAGGATTCAGGAGTGACTCCTGAGATGACATCTAAGAGGTAGGATGTAGCAGGAATCTTAAAGCATCTTACTAATAAAATCAAACCTGAGCCAGATATCAGGGTGAACTGGAAGATCAGAGAACCAGAACAAGCCACAGCTAACCTCACCTGGCCAACTTCTCAGCTGATCTTGTTTCCTCAGACTGGAAGCCTCTGTGTCCTCATATCCGAATGGCTCTCAGCTGAACTGTGCTGCTCAAAACCTAAAAGCTTAACCAGCCAAATGCTTCTAGTTTCTGGTTCTCACGCCTTATATACCTTTCTGCTTTTTACCATCACTCCCTGGGATTAAAGGCATGTGTCACCACGCTTGGCTGTATCCTTGAACAGATGGATTTCTGCCTCTGGAATGCTAGGATTAAAGGCATGAGCTACCACTGCCTATCTTAAGTATCTAGTGGCTTTTCTGTTCTCTGACCCCTGATAAGTTTATTAGGGTGCACAATATTTTGGGGAACACAATACCACCACATAGGAGGAGGCCTTGCCCTTCCCTAAGGATTATATAAACAGATAATGGTAGCTGGCCAGGAGGGATGTTTGGCTATGAAGCTCCTCATTTACCCATAGTCTCATATGTACCCCCTCATGCTTCTATAAAGAGCTCCAATTAAAGCCAGGTTGATGGGTCCATGGGTAAGGTCACTTGGCTACTAAGCCTGATGACCTGAGCTTGATCCCTAGAACCCACATAGCAGTAGAAAAAAAATTCTCCCAAGTTCCACCTAGGGACTTAAAAAGAAAATCTCCTTCCCTTCCTCAGAGGAGCCACAAATCTCTGCTGTTTGGGCTCCACGTCTTCCTAAGACTTTCAGGGAAAGATTGAAATGGAAACCAGGTGTTACTAGAATATTATTCTGGCCTCCCCTCAGGTCCTTATCTCTGTAGGAAGAATTCAGATGAGAAACACAGAGTGTGGTGAAGAAGACATTGTTTATCAAAAAGCAAAGGAAAGCATGTTTACCAGGGTGACAGATGATGATGACTATAGCCACCACTGTGCTGATGCATTGTGGGTAGGCTTTATACTGTTTTTAAAGGCTCTAGAATAGATAGCTTTTGCCAGGTGATTGACAGGCCCCCATTTGGATTGACTTTCTGGAGAAGGCAATGGTACATGAAGTGTTCTGCTGGATAGGAATTGTGCAAGGCTTGGGGCTCCTGGAAGGAGGTTTAGCTAGTTTTCAATTAATGACTACCAAACAGTTCTGGATGTCTCAGAACTTAATGTCCCCTACTAGGATATGATTCAGATCCTATTTTCCTGACTAGTAGCATCCCCCAGTTCCAGTCCTTGTCTCTACAGCTGTGGCCTAGGAGGGAGGGGTACAGCCCTAATGTCCTTCCAGGTGGCTAATATCTAGCTAACTACCTGACATAGTAGTGAGATGTGGGCAAAAGTGGTCACCATAAATCTCCGGCCAGATGGTAGAGAGTGGCGAAGTCTTGTCTGAAGGGGACAACCTAGCCTCAGCTAGCAGCTGTCACATGAAAACTGGCACCCAGGGTTGCCTATTAAAGACTATTGGGGTCCAGCCCCTTACTAGCCTTTTCCCAGGGTCTGTGGAAGAATCTAACAACCAGCTGAGGAATCTAATCTTAATGATATCAAATGAATCTACTTACACGAAACTCTTTAGTCCATTCACTTTATTCTTCTGAGTCAGTTCTCTCTCTACACAGCCTCTTTTCTGCTCTCTTTTCTTGCCTGATTTCTCTCTACACTTTTCTGCTGTTCTAAGTTCTATCTTAGTTCTCACATCTAGTTCTTCCCCATCTAGCTCTTCCTCATCTTCCACCTCGTTCTTCTAGTCCTTCCCAGTTTCTGAGGTTTTCCGGTTATATACCCACACAAAGCAGCAATTTTCTGGCCAAGGCAAGGTCACACAGGCTTGAATTCTTTCAGGGTCAAGCAGAGAGAGGGGGATAAGGTCCACACAAAACAACAATTGTCAGATATCATTTACAACTCCAAAGAGAAGTGATGGGCGAGTGGGGAATAGAATCAAACTGAGGGCTAAATTCGGTTAGTATGTCTAGGAAAAGAGGTTTATGTGCCCAAACTGTATTCTTAGAAGTGGTTAGGTAAAGTGTTAGGAGAAAACTGCCCTTTTTTCCTTTGGCCCCTGATCTGTCCAGTTTTATCTGGGCTGTGCCATTTTCTGGTGGGGCGGGTGAAGTGTGCTCAGTAGCTGTGCAACTTGCGTCACAGCTTGACGTGCCTGGTAAGTAAAAGCGCTTTAGTTCTGGATTGATTGTCAAAGGGACAACTAGCACTAGAGATAAGACTTGGAGAGAGGAAGGTTAAGCTAATATCACTTCTGCCTGGCCTGGCTGGTTGTCAGTGTACATTTTTCACCCTCTCTCAGGAACTAAAAGGAAGTCTGGAATGCTATCTATCTGTGATCTGTTCTTAGAAAGTCTGGGAAGTATCACAGATAAGATACTTTGGTCCGGAGATGGTCTTGGACGGATGTTGCTAATGATGACCATTACAAAAAGGCCTGAAGTTAGGGGTTTGGCTGTGTGACTTCTGTTAGCACAGTTGGGAGATGTTATCCAAATACTTTAGTTGCATAGAGGAAATTATGCCTAATGAATGATAAAACACACTGTTCTGAGAATGGAAAAGCTACAATAGCACATGAGAAATGCATTGCAGTAAATGGCGAATATTCAAAAGTCAGTATCACCAAGGCTCCTTAAGACTTGGTTTTATCCTCTGGAAGAGTTCATAACTCTTTTGCCATAGTCAGCTGAATTCCTACTTCATATTTCGGTGGCTCACAGCAGTTGCCAGGTCTAGGACATTTTTTAAACGAAACCAGAAAGTCTGATTTATACATAAGGCTTCCCAAATTTCAAAATGCTATTCAGCCCACAAGCCACGAGTCTGCAACCCCTGCTTTAGTGAGACAACTTTTTCCACTTTCACAACCTGATCTCTAACTTGGCTCTCTGGCTCTCCACAGGACTTGGTGGTGAGGAGCCAAATGGGGCTGGACCGGCAGGCAACCCCCGTCCCCAGAGGCCGCCCCTTCCCAAAGCCTGGGCTGACCTCTCAGATGGCCCAGCTCCCTCTTACAGATCCTGGTCCCCAGGGGCTCCTTGCAGCTGGCCCTGGCAAACCAACTCCAAGGCCTGCCTGGGCAAGCCTGAACTTGTCAGAAGCCCACCCAGACACAAGTCAGAGAGCTTTCCCAGGCCCTGGGATAGGGGGCACACTCTTCACCATGACCTCCAAGCCCCTTACCTTAGGCAGGGTGATCTCAGCCCATGACCTTGCTTCTTTAATCAGTCCCAGCTCACCCTAATCTCACCTTCTTCTTCCCAGTCTTGTCCTTGCCGGCCCCTTGGGTGGTAGCCTCCACCTTTAAGATAGAGGGTACTTCCTTCTCTGATACAGCTTGCTGGAAATGTTTATCCTGCTCCCACCGTGCAGCCCCAGGTTTAGCTCTTCCAGGAACAGCTCAGATAGCACTTCTTCCAAGAAGCTTTCCTGGAATGTCCATATTGGTTGGGTGGGGGGCAGAGGGTAAGGTCAGACCCAATTGTCTTTCCTAAGAGAGGACATTTCTCAGGGTGAAGTGCTGTGCTCTTCGCTGTATGTGTTCCACTGAGGACTACCAGTGAGACCAAGCAAATGCTTACTTATTTTGGGAAGAAGGGAGGGAAAGAAGGAGGGAGAGAGGGAGAGAATAAGGGAGGGAGGGAGGGCAGGCAGGCTAGATTCTACTAGCTTCTATCTGACCCTTTCTGCCTCTTCTCAATTTCCTCTCTTGTGTTTCCATGGCTGGTTATTCAAAATTTTTGCTTCGCACCATCAGTAAAGGTCAGAGTCCTCTTGCTTCTAACCTTCATTTTTCTGACCCCTGTCCTGGCATCCCTCCAAAGACGAGGCCACCATCTGATATCTAAATATCAAGAGCCTCTATAGCACCAGGTGTTTAGCGCAAGGATCTTTAGCTATGCTCCAGGATGGGAGCCTGTAGGTGTAGAGGTGGAGTGGTGGAGGAGCTCAGCCTGGGCGCAAGGAGGCCAGAGGTAGCTGGAGGCAGAAGGGGGATGGGAAATGTAAAAAGAAGTGGGAAGACGCTGGGAACGGGGAATGGGGGTGGGGAAGAGAGGGGCGGGTCAGACTGAGCCACCCCTCTCGCCGGCCTCACTCCCCTCCCCTCCCCACTTGGCCGGGGGCTGCCAGCACACTTCCAGCCCAGCCGGCCACATCTGGCGTCTGCCCGCCCTTGTTTCCGCTGCATCCAGACTTCCCCCGGCGTGGCTAGAGGCTGTGTGTGCATCCAAGGCTTTAAATATACAAAGGGATTGCCAGGACCAGCAAGCACCCTCAGTAGCGGGGCGGGGCGGGACGGGTTGGGACGCGGAACCCCGTTATGAGCCCCTGCGCCCTGCGAAGCCGAGGCAATTGAGCAAGGGGATCTCAGAACGCCGTGCGGAGCAGGCGCCAGTCGGGCGGACCCCAGCACACAGCCAGCGACTTCAGGGTGACACGCAGAGCCCGGGAGCGCAACGATGGAGGCACAAGTGGCCTGGGGAGCGCTCGCCGGCTCTCTGCGGGTTCTCTGCGTCCTGGGTTGCCTGCTGAGCCGCGCCACCGCCGCGCCATCACCCATCATCAAGTTCCCCGGCGATGTGGCCCCCAAAACAGACAAAGAGTTGGCAGTGGTAAGTTGCTACGCTGGCCTCATCCAGCCAAGTTTAGACAAACTTTGGAAGCGGAGGACTTAGGCCACCCACCCTCTGACTCCCTACTGGCACACAGAGTCAGGAGGGGCTTCGGTAAACATCTTTGAGGGTCTCCTTAGCTAGCTTTTGTAGACAATGCGGAGGGGGCTTGGGTAAGAGAAGGCTGTTGATAAGTAACTTGGGGAAGTTCAAGGTACATACATCCCAGGGACCAGGACGGAGCAAAGGAGGGAGACGATTGCCTTGGGAAACATCTGGAAAGGGTTGTTTTTCTGAATAACAGAGACTTTGTCTGCGTACCTAGGGGGTTTGGTTCGAGGTGAGCTTTATAAACGTCTTTTGGATGCGTCAGGAGAGCTGGCAACAGAGCCCCTGGCAAGTACCTTGGCAGGCCTTTAGGACAATCATTTTAAGGGGGAATCTCTTGAAAATGGGGAGTGTACTTTGGCATATAATTTGTATAAGCCTTTGAGCATAGAAGGATAAGCCAAAGCAAGGCTTGGCTAATTTCTGGGAAACTTTGGCACATATCTGGAGACAGGCCTTTGGTGAGACTGGAAGGGGCCATTTGGCAAGTAGTAGAGACTGGAGGGAAGCAGAAAAGTGCATTTTGGTTTAAGGCAGAAGAAGTTGTCCAGGAGGGTCCAAGCTGAGTTTCTTTGAACTTTTCCCTGGGGTCAGAAGATACAAGGAAACAAACCTTCCAGGCTGGCGGGCAGGCATGAGGAGCAGGCGCAGAGGGCCAGGCGCGTGGGGCGGGGGCGGACTGAGCCGGGCTGGGGTCGGCCAGCGGCCAGCACGACCTCCTTCTTGGCCAGTCTCCAGAGCTGCGGCTCAGATGTTGTTGTGTGAGGCAGTGAGCCTGCCTGCGCCTGGCTCTAGAGCTCCCTGGCAGCACCGTTGCATAAGCCAGACTGGGAGACAGCAGCGAGGTGAGGCAATACCCACAGCAAGGAGTAGGCATTTCTAGCCATCCATGGGGCATGGATTGGCAGGTCTCAGAACATCTATCTGCACCTTTATTGCCTTAATTTAACCGTTATAGAAATCCTCTAGCCAGCCTCCTCCCCTGTCTTCCCAGAACTAGGAATCACATGCCCTTGGGTAAGTTTGGGTGTCCCTGCTGAATGAGACACCTACTCTCTTTCCACATCCCTCCCTTTACAGCCTCCATCCTCTCTGGGTAGATGGGTTGGGAGATCTTAAAATCTTTAGAGGACTACTTTCTTCAAAGGTCTAAAACATCAGTGATGTGTCTGTTGGCTGATACTAAGAGTGGAACTTGGTAGCAGTTACCAAGGTCTCCATGCCTTCTGGGAAAAGGGGGGGTGGGGGTGGGCCTCTGGTCAAGCATGGTAGTGCACACCTGTGAAGCCAGTTCTGGGGACACTGGGACAGGAGGGTCCTAGGTTCAACTTTAGCTTGGGCTTTAAAATAAAAAGGTCCTAAAATAAACAAACAAGAAAGGAAGGAAGGAAGGAAGGAAGAAAGAAAAAAGAAGAGAGGACTTTGAACTTACACTACCCCCTGCAAATTCTCTCAAGGAGTGTATTAACCTACTGGTCTGGCGATCTCTGATGATTGATGGAACTTCTGGGGTGGCCATATCTTTGAAGTCAGAGGGTCAGAATGGCACCTATCTTTGTGATAAATGGGCAGGTGCTCTTAGATGCTGAGAAGAGTGTTTGGCACCTGGGAAGCACTCAATGAACATCAGGCATTATTACTGTTCTATCACCATTATCATCGCTACTATCATGCCCTCTCTTTACCCTTGGACTTACTGCCTTCAAGGACGTGAGAACCAGTCAGGATCACTTCTGGCTCCTTTCTCCATTCCAGCTAGCTATGTATTTAATTTCGCATTTCTTTGTGATCCACACACATTCTTGTACTGGGTTTTGAATCTTACAGACTAGAAGTGTCTGTCTTGATCATCAGTTTACCCCAGCAGTAGCACAAGGATTGACACGTGGTAGGCATTTGATGGGCAGCTGGCTGGTAGTTTGGGGCAGACCCTCTGAAGAATAAGACCGTTCTCTTTCTAGAAATCACAGATGTAAGATTTGAACGCAGGTCTGCTACCACACCCATTGCACACAATTCCTGAATTTCTTTATAAGAAAAAAAAGAAAGAAAAAGTAAAAAAGGAGGAAGACAATGTTGGGAGGTTCAATCAGATAGATGCTGGAGTATCAGGATTCAAGCGTGGGCTTTGGAGCATGACTGTTTGGTGTCAAATCTACATCTGCCATCTGTGAGTGGTTTCATCTTTTTGGTTTTTCGAGATAGGGTTTCTCTGTGTAGCTTTGCACCTTTCCTGGAACTCATGCTGTAGACTAGGCTGGCCTCCAACTCAACAGAGATCTGCCTAGCTCTGCCTCCTGAGTGCTGGGATTAAAGGTGTGCGCCACCACCGCCTGGCGAGTGGTTTCATCTTAAGCAAATCTCTTAAGCTGTTTTATATATAAAATGAGTGGTACATAAGTTAACATCTACTAAATTGAGGGAAATAAAAGAAGGTAGCTATGCCCTTTACAGATGCACCACTCAGTTGGTGGATGACAGAAGTCATTTGGGAGCCTAAGACTCCACTCAGTGTTCTTGATTCCAACCTGTCCCAAGTAGGGGATATTTAGGGACTAGTTGGGGCTGTGTGTTTTGTCATCCTAATGTGGTTCCTGACTTTGAGACTACCTGTCTCTTTCAGCAATACCTGAATACTTTCTATGGCTGCCCCAAGGACAGTTGCAACCTCTTTGTGCTGAAGGACACCCTCAAGAAGATGCAGAAGTTCTTTGGGCTGCCCCAGACAGGTGACCTTGACCAGAACACCATCGAGACCATGCGGAAGCCACGCTGTGGCAACCCGGATGTGGCCAACTACAACTTCTTCCCCAGAAAGCCCAAGTGGGACAAGAACCAGATCACATACAGGTGCTAAGGAGGGGCTGGGGATGCAGGGCCAGCAGCCTGAGGGATGTGAGTCTCCTTGGGACTTGCCTTTCCAATTCAGGGGGCCCATGAAGTGTCATTACTGAAAGCTGAGCATTCAGGGACAAACAGAGTTCTTGGTGAGTGGTACCAGCAGACCTAGATTTGAGTCTCACACTCACTAACCATGGGACACTGGTCTTATTCTCCTACACTCTGAGTTGGTATTCTTGCTTATGAAACAAGGCTAAGAAATCTACTTCCCATAGGGATGATTGGGGAACTAAATTAGATTACATGTAAATCAAGGGCTTCCTCAATGTTTGTTACAGAGCAAGAGTCTAATAAGTGTTTGTGGTTGTTATTATCTTTTGGTTCATTGGAATAGGTGGGGGATGCTGATAATTGTGTTTTTAATCTTCGAGTGTTGTTATGATTCGTTGCTAATTGGGCTATAAGAGCCCTACTCTGTGTGCCTGTGTTTATCAAGGGTGAGATCTCTACCCTTTTTCTGATATTGTACTGTTTATGTCCCTGGTGCCCTTGTCCCAGACACAATTGAGAGATGAGAAGGTCTGGGATCTTCTAGGAGGGTGTTCTCAGTGAGCTTTGCTCAACCCATCTGCACAAGAGCACTTACACACACACACTCACACACACACACACACACACACACACACACACACACTCACACACACACACACTGTGCACATAGACACTTGCACAATTGCATATATGCACATTCATATGCATTTCTACCCTCTCTAGGATCCTTGGTTACACACCTGACCTGGACCCTGAGACAGTGGATGATGCCTTTGCTCGGGCCTTACAAGTATGGAGTGATGTGACTCCACTACGCTTTTCTCGAATCCATGATGGGGAAGCTGACATCATGATCAACTTTGGCCGCTGGGGTAGGCAGAAGGGCCTGGAGATTGGGGCAACATAAAGACAGCAAGACCATGTAGACGTCTGAGATGTGTGCTAGGATAGGCAGAAGGGGGCTGGAGAGTGGGACAACAGAGAGACAGCAGGGCCATGTAGACATTTGAGATGTCTGGGGATCGCGAGGGCAGCTTACCAAGGAGGTGTAGATACTGGGTGTGGATTAGATGGATGTAGCAGAATATGGTCCAGACACTGGAGAGCCATGGCTGTAAGAGCAGAGGATGCACTGCAGTGTACCCTTTGTGCAGTGAAAACCTACTGCACCCTCTAAATCATTTAGACAGCCCCTAAAG